GCGCGGGGGAGGCGGGGAGGGAGGCGGGAGGGGGAGGGGACGGTGTGGATGGCCCCGAGGTCCAAAAAGAAGGCGCCCAACGGCCGCACGCACACCCCGCTTGGCCTCCTGGAAGCGATGCCGGTGCCGGCGAGCCCGTGAGGGGTCTGGGAGTTGGGCGAAAGCTGCAGACTTGGAGGCTCTTATACCTCCGTGCAGGCGGAAAGTTTGGGGGCAGCAGTGTCATTGGCCTGACGTGGGGAGGAGGGACTTTTCGAAGTTTTATAGGAAAGTTTCCGCTTTCCAGCCCCCCCCCCCTCGTCCCCACCCCCCTTCCTCGGGGTCTAACAATTCGTCCTCCGAAACCATTCAAAAACGACCTGGCCCGGGCGGCCGGCCCCTCCGCCCGCCTCCTTGCTGCCCTCCCCTTTCTCTGTCCGCCGCCCTCCTCCGGCGGGCGCGGGGCGATTTCCTTCCGCGTCGGAGCGCGCGGGCGGCGCCCCCGCACTCGAGCGCAGCCCCGGGAAGCGGCCGGAGGGGACTGTCCCGGCTGCGGTGCCAGCCCCAGCCGAAGTGGCTGTGACAGCAGCGGTGGCAACAGCCTCTACGGAGTGGGTGATGTCTCAACTCGCCCCAGATCCCTCTAGGTCCGTGGAGCCGGTTTGGGATTGCTGGGGCGGGAGGGGAGTGGCAAGAAAACTGTCAACTGCGGAGCCCACCCAATGGTCAGGTAGACGAACCCCTGCAGTCCCAAGGGCCAAACCGCAGCAGCCCGGCCCTGAGGTCGTGGGCGTTTCTGAAGACGTGGCCGGGCCGCGGGGGCTGCCTATTTGCGCCCCGGCCTGCTCTCTCACCCCTCCCCGAAAAGCATCTGAGCCCTCCTTTTCCTTCTACTGTGACCCAATCTAACTTTTCCCAACCCCCAAAGGACTACGCCTCCGAAGGTACTAGAAAGAGGCAGAAGTTCATTCTCCCGCAGAAAGAAGCCCTGCCCTCAGGAAAGGGAGCAGAGCCGGAGGGGGACAGCGCAGCGACCCGCCGCAGCGGCCCTGATAGCCGGCGCTGCCAGCCCAAGGCGGAGGACCCTGTGGCCGTTTCATCCCCACCCCACCCCCACCTCAGGCCTCGCATTGTGACCTTGAAAGGTCAGCTTGTAAAAGAGTTTGGTGGGCTCAATTCAATACCGTCTGGACACACGGGGCTGCCGGCTCTGAGAGCCCCCCACCCCTCCCAGTCACCACTTCCTAGGAGGTCGAGTGGGCAGTTGTGCTTCGTGCGCCCCAAACGCATTGCAATTACCTGGACACGTTTGTATTTTAAACATTTTTATCTAATAAGTTAAAACGAAGAGAATCAAAGAGAATGTTAATGCAGGTTCTGGCAAAGTGGAAGCAACAAAGTCAGTGAGCGGGAAAGGAAGCTGCCGTGCAAGAGAAGCCCGTCTCTGCAATGTTATATTTGTTTCTTTTTTTGGAACGACTTGGGGTAAAATAACCGTTTCGTGTTCATGTCTTATATTGCAAAGCAAATCAACGGCCGAAGTCAGTAGTGTTCAGGGGCAGATTTTGGGGAGTTCAGTTGTGTGCCCCGCGCTCAGGTCCCTGCACAGGCTGAAGTCTGCTCACCGGCTCCTCAGTCCAGACTCACCGATGAAAACCGTTAACTCAGCGAAGCGCCCCTTTCTGGTCTGGACCGAGGGTCGCGGCCGCAGATATCCCGAGAAGGAGGCGGGAGCGCAGGCGACGCGAGGGCAGGCCACGTGGCTGTGCCCCGCTGAGGCTCGCAGCTTCGGTCCCGGAAACCCTGCGGTATGGAGTGCTTTGGGATGCCGAAGGGCTCAGCCTTTTGGGGGAAATGAACACAAGAGTTATCTGTCCCGTGAGGGGTAAACGGGACTATGCTTTCGTGGGAGGGGGACCTGCAGGGTTTGTCCCTTATCATTTTTATAGAAATATTCGGAAAACAATGACCACAGCATGCCAACTGGCCTCCTTCGCGAGCCGTTGACATTTTAAAATGACAGCCTGTCTGAAAATTAGATTCTACTTGACCTCCACTTAATTTCAGCAGCACTCAGGCAGTTCTTCTCAAAACAATGTCGCCTGTGTATATTTGCGTTTGCATCTTCCGCCTACAGGATTTTATCTCTTGAAAGCGGTTAGAAAATAAGGCAGAAATTCTGCTCCACTCTCTTTCAAGCGTTCTCTTTTGTAAATCTGAATTGCAGAGCATTCCGCAATTCTTATTTAGAACGTGGCTGCAGAAATCTCGAAAAATCTCCACTTTAGTTTTTGGTTTGTTGTTTTGTAAGATCAGGCTCAAATCTTATTTTTGTTTTGTTTTGTTTTCTTTAGCGGAGTTCTCAAAATAAATAATGAGATCGAATGATTGGACTCGTTCCTTTGTGGCTACTGGTAAGCAAGACAGTAGAGTGGGGGCAAAGTGTAAAGGAAACCTTACCAGACCAAGGGGAATTGGGGAAGAGAGAGGGCGGCCGAGCTGGAGGAGAAACCGAGTTCACAAAGGCGCAGAAACCGGGGGTCGTTAGCCAGCCCGACTTGCAAAGTCATCAGTCTGGAAGGCTAGTTCTTAAACAAGTGAGCCCAGCCCTTCTCCAAGCACTAAACTTCTAGGAGATGAAGAGCTAGCCATTGAGTACAGGACCCCCCAAGGATGAGGCGACATATCAGATGCCAGAATGTTTAGAAGAAAGTTTAAAATGAATGACCTGACCAGACCATCCTGGCCATGGTATATTTCAGACCAGGTCACAATTGATGACTTTAGTTCTGAGAAATTTCTCTTGAACTTATCTGAGGAGTGGAGGATAAGACTGATTTTTAAGTTCTTGTCTTAAGAGGGGCTCGAATATTATACTTTTTGAGCAGATGGTAGTAGCTTGCAGGTGAATTACCTGTCAGTGTCTGGGGCCTGTTATGCAAACTGCAATATGCTGTGGTCAACTGTCCACTCTGTGTATAGTTCTTATTTACCTGAGCTTTTATCTAACAATTTTCTTTTCCACACTTGCTGGGGCAAGAATGGCTCCTTTTTAATATGCTGACAAGTCAGATATAATTCTGGGTATCTCATACATGCAACAATAATTGTAACTTCCAAAATGTTCAGTTTCCAATATAAAACCTTGCTTCGTTCTAAAATCCCAGTTTCAGGATGTCAGTGGAACTACCTTCTTTGGGAATGCTAGATTAATGGGGATTCAGTCATTTTGTCTAATCTAAAACAATTACCCTGAAAAAAAAAATTTACCTGAAAGCAAGATTTTTTTTTTCTTTTGCACTTGGATAATTCAAAACGAGCTTTGTTTTCAAGCTACAAGCTTGTCATGTTTGCAGTCCCTTCCTGAGGAATGTGTGCTGTTAAAAATTAAAAAAAACAAAAAAACAAAAAAACTACTATTAAAAGTAACAGAGTTAGAAATCTCATATTGAGTAAATGCAATAAGTAACATCCTTACAGTTTGAATATGCACTGGCATTCACTTAGCACAGTAAATTATACTTTCAGATCACACACACACAAAAAAATCCAAACACTGTAGAATTGTTAGCAAGCTGGTAAATTTTGGAGTTTGAGTCTGCAGAAAAGGTGAATGCTTCACTCTGTTCTTATTCTTCTTTCTCTTCAGTCTTTATATGATCTACCACCTGTTTGTTGGCTTTGAGTTCTGTAAAATAATTCATCTGAATTGCATGAATGAAACACAGGAGCATTCACACAGAAGGGGGCGCACACTGGAAAGGCTGTAGTTGAGTGGATCTCAGATGAGGTTGTACATCTTAGATTTCATCTTGTTTTGGACACTCTGGAGGGATCGTTCAGTTTGGTATTTAAATGAGAGAGCTTTATTAAAGTGGAATCTAAAGTTTGTATGAGCACTAGTGACTTTAATAACTGTGTAAATGCAGATTCTTTGGTGACCCAGGTAGCTTTAATGATCTTTGAACACCTCACACCCTAAGTAAGAATTCATTCTCTTTCTTTTAATGGTTTAATTCATGAATTTAACTGATTCTACCTTTCCCTTTCTGGATTCAAGAGTAGGAACTAAAGTTTTAAAATTTGAAGGTTCAATGCAGAAATAAAATGGAAAACTTAAAAACGTCAGAAATTGAAGTGCCAAGAGCACCTCAAATGAGCAAATGAAATTTTCATATAAATATTAATCCTTAAAATATCTGATATTCTGGATTCAAAATGAGGATGGGATGAGGAGATATAAATCTAACCTGTAAAAAAAGCAAGATTAGATTGTGGAGAAAGTATGGAGTCTTGTAGAACTTTTATTCCTTTTTTATTGTTTTTAGCTTTATGGGGTGTGCAGGCTGCAGAGTTGGTATCCCGTCTTGACTTCCAATTAACCTTGTGGAAATACTCTCACTTCACTTATTTCAAAGAGTTGCTGGAATAACTGATGAAATAACGTAAAGAAATACATAATTATGCATAGTGGCTTTTATTATGGTCACAATCTTCCACAATTTATTTGTCTTCTTTTTAATCATCTGATAATGAGTAATTTAAATATAAACCTGATGGGGCCTTAGCCCATGGCGCACTCGGGAGAGTGCAGTGCTGGGAGCGCAGCAGCGCTCCTGCCGCGGGTTCGGATCCTATATAGGGATGACCACTGCGCTCACTGGCTGAGCGCAATGCGGCCAGCCTCAAAAAAAAAAATAAATAAATAAATAAATAAATAAGTATAAACCTGATGATATATACATTATATGCTTTTCCAATTAAATTTGCCTTTCTGATTACTCATAACTTTCACCTTTCATCATTTCAAGGGGTTTTCTTTTTTCACAAATGACTATTCCTGAATCCTAAAGTCCTATTTCCATTATTTAGTTTTGTTCTTTCTGCAGAAAACATGTTGTTTTTGGCAGTGACCACAAGAGGACACAATTTCCCAGAGAACTTTGTTTAAAAAGATTATAGAAGAGGACAGCTTATTATAGCGAAAATACCGCACAATTAAGGAATTTCGTTTTGGAGATGTCTATTTGATTTTTGTCACTTTTATTAATTTTTAAAGACATAAACATCAGTTAGCATTCAAGCTTTAGATGTTTTGAAGATTTTGTATCTTCTCTCTGTATTGTAGAACAGAAGAAAAGCATACGTTTATGAAAATATACTAAAATTCTACTGTTGTCATTAAGGGAAAATGTTTATTTTACATTAGCAGAATTTTGTACAAAACTCTTGATAACCTGGAATTTTACTTACTTAATTTTAGACCCACTTTTTGTAATGAAAAACAATTTTTTAAAAATATGTGACTACTTCAAAATCCCTTAGAGATTGAATTTTTAGTTTGGGCATTTGGGATGTCTTTACATGGAAAATTGTAGGAAAATTATGTTTTATAGTTTGTCAGTTATATTTTAATTCACATGATAGGTTAATAACTTAAATTATGTTGCAGAAATATGGAAAAATAGGATACCTTAAGTTATTGGCTATCAACACTTCTCCAGAATTATTATACACAATCTTTGATTGAACTTAAGATATCCTTACAATTTTGTACTACCTTCTTTCAAAAAGGTTTCAGAGCATTTGATTACTTTGTCAATTAAAGTGAAGTATGTCTTGATACTTTCTGGAAGAATTTCATCCTTCCGGTGGATTGCTATGACAACCAGTCTGGGAAATCCTGTTTCAATTGGGACTAAATGCTTCTGATCTGCATTTGTGTCTTCATGCAGGTCCATTCCTAATTACATTCTCTGAGACCCTGTTGGAGGGACTGAGCAATAGACCGAAGGGCTGGGAAAAGAAGAGAGAAAGACAAGAGCAAGAGAAAATAAGAAAAATAAGGAGGGGATCAAGAGAGGAAGATCAGAATTTGGAGAGAAAGTGTGAAAGAGGAGCTGGAGCAAGTGAGCAAGAGAACAAGCAAAATGAGGCTGGATATGTAGGGGGAATAATAAGCCTAAATAACAAGAGAAAAAAAGAAATTTATGCACTTAGTAGAAAATAGAAAAGCACCAGGATTATTTGCCTGTTTCTGCTCAAAGACATTACTGCAAGTTGTTGCCTGTCTCTTGGTATGGAAATTTAGTTTTAGAAATTCCTGTCATTGTCGCCCAAGTCATAACAGAAGGTAAAGACAGGGTAGAGGGCCATGAAACTTTTAATTAAGGTTTATGTTTTTCTAATGGGTATGCTCTACCCTGAATGAGAGTAAAGTTGGTAATTATGGATCTCAGGGTGGATCTCATTTGGGGGAATCCTGATATCATTACACCATAACAATGCTATCAACCATGATACAATTTCAGAAACCCAATATAATTGCTCAGGCTCCTAGATCATTAGTTATTTTCCATTTAACCTGCACCATTTAGGTAAAACTGTGTTTTTCCTGACAATTAGCCAGAATCAATAACTTTGCCCACCCCTCCCCACCCCCATCCCTCCAGATACCTCAGGGAGAGACAGAGCTATGTGTGATGAACTTTGTTCTCATTCACTGTACTCAAGGCCTTGAGATATTGTAAGGTTCTGGTTCTGCCTAATGGTACATTTGGGAGACCTGAAATCTGGTTTCAGCTGTCACTAATCAACTGCAATATGTTTATTAATTGTTTTGTAACTTATCAAAAATGTTTTGATGTCTCTTATGTTAGGTGCTCTGAGTTAAGAAGATTTAGTCCCTGACATCAAGGTTGTCACAATACAATGGGAAATAAAATATGAAAATAATTTTGTGATATAGGGAGCTAAATGTTAATATGTTTGCAGAGAGTGCCAAGGAGGTATACTGAACCTGGACTGAGGTTGTAAGAATGTCTTTGCACACTGGGAAATACTACCTTAGAGTAATGGTGGTTTCCAAGTACACTTCTAGCAGGGTTATCCTAGACAGAAAGGCACAGAAAGGCTCACAGACTAAATTAAAATGTGCATGACATGTCACATTGTTTTTTGAGTCCATTTGAAACATATAGCAAGAAAAGGAAATTTATGACATGTTTAATATACTAGGAGAGGTTGCGAACAGGCAGGAAGGACTACGCTACCCAGATGTTATGGCACACAATATTAATATATCCTGTTTTTTTCCTCTCTCTTTCTCTACATATGACCTCCCTGTTGACAGTGTGCTTAAGAGGTCCAACATTAAGGATAAGCAGTAATGGAGCATGATGAGCTAATATACACTTGCTCTATTAGAGAGACACAGGGAAGATACTCATGTCCACAGCCAGGCCTTGACACTTAGCCTGCTGAGCAGCTATGGATTTCACTTTCTGTCTGGCCAGAGGACAAGTGGGTCAGATTGGATGTCACCAACAGAGACTTTAATTAAGACAACATGAATGTGGGTGCCTTATAAGTATGGGGTTCCCTATGAGCTTCATGACTATTTGATGTTTGTGTGGTCTTTCTGTACCTTTCTACTCCTTCTGTCTACACTAACAATGTTTAAAATGTCTCTCAGGCTACTTGTTTCTGTACTTAATTTCATCTATCCTCTTTGTTTCTCTGACTTTAGAAATTATCCAGTTTGAATACCCAGTTTTATAGATGAACGTAGGGGAAAATTTTTTCTCTATGTCTGCTTCTAACTGTTAAGATTTGGCCATATCTGGAACCTGAAAGCATTTCCCTAATTGATGAAAATAAATTTTCTTCTAGTTCTGAAAACTGCTTGTGGCTAACTCTGGGCCTAAATATTTGTGCCAAAAGTAGGTAAAATAGGCAGGGAAGTGGCTTAAATGGAGGCAGAAGGGACTCCCTCCAAAAGCCTTCTTATATTTCCCATGGTCATGCTTTAAATCTATCACTGGCAACTCATTAATTTGAGGCTGGCATTGTCTTCTCCAGGCTCCTCTATTAAAAGGCAAAGTCCCCAAGATGAAGCAACACATTGGGTCAGTAGCACCTTTGAGTGAATTAGATTGTAAGATGTTTTTCTCAGGAAAGGAGAGACTCAGGGCAGCCAAAGGATACTGGAACATATTGGAGAAGCCAGACTGAAAGCGGGAAAAAATGTGAAGAAAAAAGAGATTGAGGAACTAGGGCCTTTGCTGTTTCTCCAAGTATAGGTCTTGGCTCGACACCATGAGCCTGTCCATGCCTTCCACACCTGTCACTTAGTGTGGCTGAAACTGTCCAGTTCTGTCTTCTGACTTCAGTTCTAGATAGATAGAGCACAGTGAGATAGCAAGGAAACAAGAACCCACTGGTGGTGTCTCATTGTTAATTGGAAGGTCTTAGAACCTTAAAACGTGGCTATCAAATAAGGGACATTCTTCTATTTCATTGTCACTTGTGAGCCAAGAGCAAACAATAGTCTACAGTCTGTTTTAACTATAATGGGCCTATTTAAATGTGGCTGTATTCAAGAGTAGAAATTTTTCAAGGGAATGTGAAGTGTGTATAATGAATATAAAAATTGAAAAAACAAAAATATATACTGTGTCTGTAACAGAGAAAAAATATATAAAAATTAATATCTATATATACTGAAAAAACAAAAATATATACTGTGTCTGTAACAGAGAAAAAATATATAAAAATTAATATCTATATATACTGAAAAAACAAAAATATATAAAAAATGATTGTCATAGGTAACCTTAGTGACAGTTATAACTTAACAGCCAAGTTTTGGGACTGGAGAGAAGTAATAGTTAAATATAATTAAAGAGGAAGACAACAATGTTAATTCTGAAGCACATGAGTAGAATAACCTTAGTGACAGTTATAACTTAACAGCCAAGTTTTGGGACTGGAGAGAGGTAATAGTTAAATATAATTAAAGAGGAAGACAACAATGTTAATTCTGAAGCACATGAGTAGACTTGGAATACATGAGTAGCAGATGCTGCAAATGAATTCTATTTACCTTTTTAGCTGGGCCATCCTTCAAAATAGTCTACAGTCTGATATAATTATTAGAAAAAATAAACTCTACTTCTAGATTTATGTAACATTTATTCACTATTATTTTCATTATGTTGATTCTTCCATAAAATTTGGGCACAGAGATATTTTTACAGAAATTCATTAAAATATTTCAGGGTGCTGTTTTAGAAAATTTAACACATAGTTTTAGTGGAGGAGAGAATTGCATGGCAAATTTGGTAAGACAGAATGACTACCTTGTTTTACATGTGAATACATCCGCAATATAAGCTGCGATCACAAGTACTTTAGCTTTTACCATTTCTTAATAGGTATGCAGACGCTCATATTATTAGAATAATTCCATAGAATGAAAACAATAAAAATAGAACTAAAAGAAATCTAGGTAATCTCAGATTAAATTAGATGGTCATTCTACTTTGTTAGTAAATTCTTAATGCATCACAATTGCTGAACTGGAGAAACTGCTTATAAAAAGCATTTGAATAAAATCATAGGCTACTGCAGCTCAAAGAAGATTTGGAAGTCCAGAGGTTTGGAAGTCCTATTCTGGTAAGGTAGAGTGGGTACAGAGACCAGGGTAGTGGGTAGGGGCCTGGATCATGGAGCCAGTCAGCCTGGATTCAAACATGGCTCAACTTCTCACTGCCTGTGTACGTTAGGTAAGTTGTCTACCACTCCACACTTCCTGTGGAAGGAAGAGAATCATGTACATCATTAAGTTGTGATGATTAAATAAATTGATTAAGTGCTAACCCCTTAAAATTGTGTCTGGTACTAGATACATGTTGAATATCATTATTTTAAATAATAACTAAGTTATAACCTAGTTATGTGGGACCTTGTAGACTAAGATGAAGTGTTTACACTGATATCATTATTTTAATAACTAAGTTATAACCTAGTTATGTGGGACCTTGTAGACTAAGATGAAGTGTTTACACTGAATTCTAAGTGCAAACAGAAGAGTTTAAAGGATAAATGAGGTAATTAATTGATGATCCAGTTCTGTTTGGAGAACAACTATTTCTATATCCGTGCATCATCCCCTAAAAACTGAAAATTCAAGTTGGGGACACCAGTGGAGGAAGTTCAATAATTTATCTATGCCCTATCTGCCAAGGGATGGTAACAGAAGGCATATGATCTCTTCAACTTCTGAACTGGGTGACATCTCCTCTGAGCTACAGACTTTCATATTCAATTGTCTGCTTAATACTACAATGTGGATTTCTCACAGAAATCTTGAATTTATTGCCACTCTCAAATACCTATTCTTTCCATCCCTGCAAATCAGTAAATATCAGTAAACTATTTATCTAATTATTTAGCTTAAGAAGCTAAAAGTCATCATTAATTCTTCTGTTTTGCTCAGCCCACCCTCTCCTTCATACAGATGGTCATGAAAGGAGTGCAGTCTCCCAACGGGACTGACAAACTGGGTATTCACCAATGATAGGAAATTTGTTTGGATGTGGGACAGTCAATAAAACTCCAACAGAGATGGCACTTCCTAGTGTGTGGCACTGAGACTCTCTGTAGCACAATCTGGTATTCAGTGGCAGTTCATACTAGAGTCTGATTCATTAGTGTTCATATTTTTTTCCAAGTAGATTAATTGCCATAAGAACCCGGACTCTTCTCATGTTTCCCATGGGCTTCATAGTGTGCAAAATAGGCACTCCATAAATACTTGTTTATTGACTACTACTCTCTTTAGAGAAGTACAAAAAATGCAGGTACTTCTATAAGTCAAATATTCCTCAGTTTACCCCCATGTTACCCTAATCCTTCACTTCAGCAAATACACACAATGAAATTAACTAATATCTATTAC